TATCAGGTGACAAAAGAAAAGTTTTGGTTTCGTTCATTTTCTATTATTTTAATGATGCTGCATTCACACTATTGCTTTTCATGAACGCACGCAAAATTGTGCAATTATGAACATGTTTGCAAAGCGTGCAAAAAGTGGTGCTTGGTAATTGCACCCCAAACTTCCTTTTTTTGGAAAATGTGCAAAGCTCAAAACGGGGCATACGCTGCTTTTGCCACACATAGGGCAGTGCATTGAAATTAATGGGCTGCCCCATGTGCGTAGTGAGAGAATGCGCAAAAAGACCCTGCATATTGTGGTCATAGCATGCATATTGTGGTCATAGCGTGCATGGCGCCTTCTATAGCAGCGTCGTCTCGTGTGGTGATACACCCAATAAGTATAGCAAGACCTCATTCACACTTGAGCTAAAAAATGCCTGTTTTCCAGGCGTTTGATTTTCTTTCTTATCTTTTTTTTTTTTTTTCCGCGTCTAAACGCCCCTCCATGTTAGCCTGTGTCCATGCTCACATAGATGTTTACAGCAGTTTAGAGGCAGAAAAAAAAAGCATCACTTGTGTATTCAACTGAAGAGCGGTTTGCCAGAAAAACGCCTGACGCACCTAAGCACTAGGCGCATTTGAGCATTTTTTTTTTATTTCAATGGCCAGAATTATTATTATTATTATACAGGATTGATATAGCGCCAACAGTTTGCTCAGCACTTTACAATATAATGGGAGACAATACAGCAACAATACAGTAGGGATAGGAGTGCCCTGCTCCTCGGAGCTTACAATCTAGGAGGGAGGGGCTAGTGGTACAAAAGGTAGTAACTGTGGGGGATGGACTGGTTGGAAGAGTAGAAGATTCCATTATTAGCTGAGGGCGGGGTAGGCTTCCCTGAAGAGATAGGTTTTCAGAGATTGCCTAAAAGTGAGCAGAGTAGGCGATAGTCTGATAATTTGGGGTAAAGAATTCCAGAGGATGGGGGAAGCTCTGGAGAAGTCCTGGAATAAATTCCAGAATAAATTAATATTCTGGCCAATAAAAAATAAATAAATGCCCAAGCACTTGACGCACCGTTTGCAAAAACGTAGCTTAGGCGCTTTTCTGAAGCTGGTTTTGTCCTAGTAGGAGAGAAAAGCATTTATAAGTGTGCATGAAGCCTAATACACAAGTACTAGGACCTTAGATTGCACGCGCCTTGAGGGTTAGGGACTGATGTGAATGTACAATATATATGTAAAGTGCTGCGGCGAGATATATAAGTACCTGAAATAAATAAAATACAAATAAATACTGCACCAAATACACATACATAGGAAGACTTCAGATGATGAGCATATATGAGAGATGCGATAGGGGAGGGAGACTTGCCTATACAAGCTGACAATCTAGAGGGAGAGGACGGTCACATGACCTCTTTTGTCACTTTTACCCTGACAGTAGCATATCCGGCAGGCGAGGGAAAACTTGCAGATCAGGTTATTGACCCACATTTGGTATTCTGTACCCTTATCTGCTTTTGAGATACGGTTCCCAGGAGCTGATTGGTTGGTTTAGCATACGTTTTAAGGAATGGGCTCGAGCTCGCCTTGCAGATGTTTTGTAACCGGTTTTGTGGTCACAGGAGTGGCAGGCACGTGACAGTGCAGTGACATTTGAGCAGACTGCTGACTAACTGGATAACTTACCAGTGTGCCTGATAGAAGTCAGCCCAGCTAAGCTCACGAATGTAACTATTCCAACAAACTACATCTTCCAAGTCACAGGAACAACCCTGCAGACCGACACAAGAAAGAGCAGGTAAACAGATCTCATTTGTCAGGAGGCATTGCAATCAAGCCTGGATTGTAGAAATGAAATCTGTAGAAGATTGGAGCTACATTCATTATTACAGAGGGGATTAAATCCTTGATTATTGGTTGTAAGATGGTGATTGATATATTTAATATACAGTGCACTGTGGAGGGGTCTTCTCAGCTCCCTTTACCCGAATCATTGTGCTTATAGATCTCTTAGGCTGGCCATACACTATACAATTTTCTGTCCAATTTCTGCCCAATTTCCTTTAGATTTACCTTCAACTATGTAGTGCAAGAGCCTGCCTAATTGGATACAATTTAAAGTATTGTTAAGTTTGACCTTCTATTATATGGTTTTTGGTAAAGCTAAACCAAAAATCTTATAAAAATTGCATAATGTATAGCCAGCCTTACTTTGTATAGGCCATTCCATATCTTGCATTGATGAGTTCTAAAAAGTGTGAAACATGCTTGCTGGTTAGATATAGTGCTCTTTGTAGGCAGACCTATCTGGACTGCATGACTTTATTTTTGTGTTGTCTTGTTATTCTGTAAGCTCGTAAAGGAACATTTTGCCTATCTGCTCCCGCATGATGCGGTATTTGTAAAATAGGGATTGCTCCCCAAGACTTATTGTAAGCCACGGGGTTATTTAGCTCACCAGACTCCACCTATAAGGCTAGGTTTCACACCTATGCAGGTTGCGTTTGAGCTGTTCTTGCACCTGCGTTTTTTTACGCATTTTGCCCTGTTTTTGATGCGTTTTACTAACTTTTTTTTTTCTTTTTCTTGTTGCTAGGCAGATTTAAAATGCAAAACACATCAAAAACACAATACACGCTTTTCTGCAGCATTTCCATTGCAGTCTTTAGAACCAAAAATGCAATTTTTTTGCATTCAAAAATGTCCCTGACCCTTTCCAAAAAACACACCGGGTGAAAACATGGAGATGGGAACGTGACCCATAGTAAACCATGGTAAATGGACTATACTGCGTCTCTGCAAAATGCAAAACGCTGCAGAAAATGCTTAGGTGTGAACCTAAGGTAACTGAGGCTTCACCTTTGTGTTGACTAGTCCTTTGATGGACATTCAAGTATATGTAAATCCAATCACATTCATCTCAAACAGGGGTGTCAAACTGGTGGCCCCAGCTGTTGCAAAACTACAAGTACCATCATGCCTCTGCCTTTGGGTATCATGTTTTTAACTGTCAATTTTGCAATGCCTTATGGGAATTGTAGTTTGGTAACAGCTGGAGGGCAGCCAATTTGACACCCGTGTCATAGAAGCTTTACCATGGGCGCCTGGGGCTGTATGATATAACATTTTCCCTGCTTGGGAGCCATAGGTGTCATGTACAGCTGCCAATAGAAATAAATGACTATTCAGCTACAGTATATGTGCACATGTGTATGGCTGTACGCTCCTGAATGCAAACTGTCCAGGGGAGGTACTGTATCTGTAAGCATGCACATGCTTACACAAATATGGTGTATACCAGCGTATAGCCATTGATTTCTGTGGACGCCGGCATGCAGCACCTGTGTCTCCCAGATTATGAAATATACCTACATTTTACATCATACAGCCCAGAATGAGGTCTTAAAGTCATGTCAAAAGTGATTTTCAATATTTTTATTTGGCTACATTTTTTTTAAAATAATGCAGCACAATCCTATCTTTGTTCAGGCACTTCCTTGTATATAGTGACAACGCTCTGTGTCTTGTCCTGCGTTTTCACCCTGTTACACGGAGAATACAAGCACCCTGTGCCACGTCACATTGCACCACCGTATTTGTCACCATCAGAAATCCCCCAACCCCGAGAAATGATGTGCAGCAGTTGCTGTAGTAATTGTAGACAGGACGTAGTTGAAGGATCTCAGTAGCATTGAGATGCTTCAAAAATTAAAAAGGATAAAAAAGGTGAAAACAGTATCTGATCAAAAATGGTAATTGTTTGATACATGGTACTTTAGCCAATTAAATGTTGTTCATTTGAGATTTACACCTATGTTATTAGTAGGTCTCATAGGGCTCATTCACACGGGTGCAGAGGGTAAAACACCAAAAGAGTCCTTGTGCATGGTACCGGGGGAAGACTGACCATTTGGAAACTCGGACACTGCTCGAGGGCCCGGGGTCAGTAGGGGGCCACATGAGATGCCCCTGGTACCTTTTTCATAGGCTTTTTTGAGTTTGGGCAAGGACACAGGGACCCCATGATCCCCTATTGCCCAGGGGCCCCATGAGTTGTCAGTCCGCCCCTGCATGGTACTGATGTATGAACACTAAATCTTGCTGGCAAAAAGTCCCTGTGCCAAAAAAAACAAGAGTGTGCTCCATATAGTGCACACGTTCATACACATTTCCGCATGTAAAACTTCTTATAGCTATAATATAATCTACTTTTCAAGAGGGTGTAAAATACTAACCAGTAATGTATATTTTTGTAATCTTTTTTCTGCTCTAAAAGCAGTGGGCTGCATTCAGATCATTAAAAAAAATGCCCGAAGGCCTAAAAACATGGCTTTTTTTTTGCGCCTTTTTGCAAAAGCCCTGAAAAAAACAAGTGCTTTTCTGCTCCTGGGAGTCCCATTAGCCACACATTTACATGTGTGCAGGGACGGAAGTACGCCCCTGGATGCAGACAGTTTGTGTTTAGGGCCACTTATTCATCCCTGTACACATGTAAGTGCTCATATGTACAGTTACCATCGTACAGCCGCAATCTGTCATTGATTTGTACACTTTGTTGCCCATGGCTTTATGCAAACACATGTGTCTCATGGTGCAGTTATATGCTTTTTGTTTTTTTTTATTGGTGTCTGGCCCTCTTCGGCAATATGTATGGGACCCATTCACAGCATATGCAGTGACCTGCGTTTTTATGCAACGGCTCAAGACAGGTCATTACAAAACCAATGGATTTCTATGTGCCTCGTTCACTGCACATGGCTGTGTAAGTACTGTATGTGTTGCAGAGAATTGTCTGCAGCATGTCTGTAATTTAACGCAACATACAAGACCGCATGTAAAGGTAATGCACCTGAAAGTTACAAAATAAAAAGATTAATCGCTGTTAGCATTTTGATCCTTCCAGGGACCTGTTGCTTCACAACTAATGACCTTAAAACACATGCCATACATATACAAAATCTAGTAGATAACATTGTGTAAGACAGGGGTGTCAAACTGACGGTCCTCCAGCTGTTGCAAAACTACAAGTCCCATCATGCCTCTGCCTTTGGGAGTCTTGCTTGTATCTGTCAATCTTGCAATTCCTCATGGGACTTATAGTTTGGCAACAGCTGGAGGGCTGCCAGTTTGACACCCGTGGTGTAAGGTGTCCATACTTCACTGTGACAGTGATGGACAGGGATACATGCTATACATAAGAGGTGCTCTGAATTGATATACTTTGCTCCTGGATCATATTCTAATATGATGATGCTTTAGTTGTGTTCCTCAACCAGCAGGCATGAATAATAATGTACTGTTTTATAGGTTTGGGAAGATGTTGAGAAATATCTGCACTTGGGTCTCTAGCTGCCAATGGCAGACTTTTTGATGGACCTCTTCATAAAGCCTGTGACACATAGGTGGATTTGGGAATAGCTCACTTATTGCCAGGTCTGAACATTGTCACATAGGATGAGGATATGTTAAAAGCTGTGTTCACAAAGATGGACACTGTGTAGGAACTTTAGAGAGCTCCAGCAGCAATTGGGTTAACACCACAATTTTACGGGTCAGATTCTCAATAAGCTATAAAGTACGTAGCTGTGCAGTCTGTGGTCCATTAAAGCCTAGTTTGCCTTTGCATGGGTGGAGGAAGCTATAAAGTTCCAACCATATTTATGTATTTATGGAAATGAATCCAGTTTAGGGAGTGTCATATTGTTCTGCGATTGTAGCTGAATACATTCGACCCCCACAGCCCTGAAACACCACCGCCTCTAGGATCATGGAAAGGGTAAGCATGACCCTCCACACTCCCACACTACCGTGATCTAAAATTAATAATTCTGGTGGGCTTAAGCCTGCTACAATCCTGGCAATTCCAAATAAAAATATGATAAAGAAAATGCATAGCCTTGTCAAAATAGTCAGTAAATCTGGATAGGCAGCTGGGGTTATAGTTTTATAAGTTGGGTCTGTGATGGGCCCCAGCACACTGTCGGAGATGTCTCCAGAACCCTGTGGTGTACATTCATATGTTCTGGAATTGTCCCACCATACAATTATTCTCATCTGATGTAGCACATTTTATTATGATACTGACCACTATCCAAGTCCCTTTTAAATATATCCACTTGTCTGTTGAGCCTGGTAGAACCACTCATGCAACCAGGCCCCCATTTGTTCTATGCTAGGAAGGCTATTGTACTAAAAGCCACATCTCCCACACTGGATTTTTGGAAATTGCTAGTTAACCACTTGCCCTCCTGAGGATTTACCCCCCTTAATGACCAGGCCTCTTTTTGCGACTCGGCGCTGCACTAATTCAACTGATAATTGCGCGGTCATGCAATGCTGCACCCAAACGAAGTTTACGTCCTTTTTTTCACACAAATAGAGCTTTCTTTCGGTGGTATCACCTGTGCGCTTTTTATTTTTCACGCTATAAACAAAAAAAGGCCAAAGATTTTGAAGAAAAACTATATTTTTTACTTTCAGCTATAAAAAATATATAGTAAACTCAAAGTTAGTTATAAATTTAGTCCAAAATGTATTCTGCTACATGTTTTTGGTAAAAAAAATCCCAGTGAGTGTATATTGATTGCTTTGTGTGGAAGTTATAGCGTCTACAAACTATGGTATAGATACTGCAATTTGCGCCATTTTTTTTGCTATACAGTGCTGCGCTAGTTTAGTGGACAATTGCGCGGTCATGCAATACGGTACATAAATTAAATTTACATCCTTTTTTTCCCACAAATTGAGCTTTTTTTGGTGGTATTTGATTGCCTGTGCGGTTTTTATTTTTTGCGCTATAAAAAAAAAGGCTGACAATTTTGAGGAAAAAAAACAATATTTTGGACTTTTTGCTATAAAACATGTCCAGTAAAAAAAAATTTAAAAATCAAATTTAGTCATAAATTTCTGCCAAAATGCATTCTGCGACATGTCTTTGCTAACAAAAAAACCCCAATACGTGTAAATTAATTGGTTTACGTGAAAGTTATAGCGTTTACAAATGGCGGGAAGGATACTGGGATTTTTAGTTTTTTTTTTATAGTAATAATGGCGGTGATCAGCGACTTATGGCGGCAATCAGTGACTTATGGCGGCGATCAGCAACTTATGGTGGGACTGTGGGACTGTGGCGGACATTCTGACATTGGGGGGTACTGACTTGGAGTCACTGACATCCCCAGCGACACCAATACAGTGATCAGGGCAAAAAAAACCAAAACACTGACACTGCACTAATGGCACTGGGGAGGAAGGGGTTAAGTTTATTATTCAGGGAAAGGGTTAACTGTGTGAGGGGAGTGTTTTACTAGGGGGCGGGCGTGTGTACTGCAGGGAACACCTCTGATCGGGAGAGAGAAACTCTTCTGTCCCGATCAGCGTGTCCTGGAGCTGTCAGGGAACTGACAGAAAGCACAGCCACTGCAGCTGTGCTCTCTGTCAGCGATTGCCGCCGATCGCCGAGACATAGCCAGTAACGACCGGCTGTGACCCGGCGACTGACATCCGCGGCTGTGATCGGCGGGACAGGTAGGGCGGCGGCGTGCCTCGCCCGCGCTCCCTACCTGTTTTCAAAACACACGTTTTTAAAATGTGGTTTTGCCCAGCCGTGCCGCCCTGCCGCCGTATTTCTACAGTGGCTGGGCGGCATGTGGTTAAAGTATAACTAAAGACAAAACCTTTTTTTTTTGTTTTGGATAGAGTGGAGAGGGATTAGAACACCTGTTAGGTTTTTATTGCTGTCTGTGCCCCCCGTTAGATAGATTTCTATTGCTGTCTGTGGCACCTTTAGAAAGATCCACCTTCTCTATTTCTCTATATGCAAAGAAAAAAAAAAACATTTGCCTATAGTTCTACTCTAATGCAGCACTTCCACTTTATAAGTCTATGAGGTTGCCCCCAAATATTCTTCAAGGTATAGGATTTTTTGGTGATATGTAAATAGTACTTTGTGAATTCATCCTAACTTCTTAAAAAGTTCACAAGGTGGGATCATTTTTTTTAAGGGGTATGGGGAGGTGCATGGAGCGAAATTTGTTGCTCTGCAAGCTATTAATCTTTATAATAATTTTTGTGTCGGACAGATTATTGCAGAACTGAGTGCGGCCAATTTTGTTGTTTTTCTTTACTGGTTTTATACTAAGAGTGATGTTCCTCATGGATTATTTTGTACTTCTATGCCAGGGATAGGCCCAAATGGTTTTATATCTTAGTTAAAAGCTCAAGAAAGAATTAGCAAAAAAAACGTCTGTGATCGGCAACCTGCTTGACAAATAGTGAAACTTATTTGTGCCCAACCTTAGGTATTCTTACAAGTTGTCTGTGCCCGTCTCACTATTCATAACTTTAGTCTTGAGAACAAGTATTTAGCAGTATTGGTGTACCATGTGCCAAGTCTGAGCATTGCTGGGTGCAGCGGTTCCCATGTTCATCCAGTTGCTACAGCCATCAGAAGGTGGCTCAATCAATGGTGTTGATTTACTAAGGGGGTAAAGGTTATTAATTGTTTATGTTGGAATGTAGTTGTTACTTTGTAAAATGAATCTTTACATAGCTTAGTAAATTAGTGAGGCTGTGTAACCTAGTTCCCTAGTGCACGGGTCTCCAAACTATAGTCTTCCAGTTGTGGAGGAACTGCAAGTCCCATGAGGCCTTGCAAGACTCTGACAGGCAAGACTCCCAGAGGCAGAGGCATAATGGGACTTGTAGTACTTCTACAGCTGGAGAGCCAAAGTTTGGAGAACCCTGCCCTAGTGTATCACTGACCTGAACCAAGCATGCAGTACAGGAGTTCAGACTTTTTATTAAACATCACTGGTTGTATACTTGTCCAGAGTCGTCCCTATGGAGCTGGCACTTTAAAAACAACAAATTAGTAATGGAAGCTCCATATTTCTTTCAACATAGTTTCACCTAAAAAGCTACACCCATATAAAAAAAAAAAGCACACCCATATTTAGGGTGAAATATGAAACATGGCACAGCTACATCCCAAACCACCCCTAGTAAAGGAATCTGTGGAGTTTTCTTCCTGCTAGCTCTTGTTGGGGAGAGTTGTGAATGAAACAACTACAAGTCCCCTCCACCGCCACAGCAGAAGGACTGTAGTTTTTAATTGATAACAAGTGCGGGGACATTACTGCACTTGTAGTTCATTGTGACTTCCTCCATAGCTGAAGGTCTGTACCTCTGTATGAACCTGAGTTAAAGGAGCAGTCTGCTGGAGATGATCCACTGATTGCATTTGCATTGCTTTGCATGCTGACATTTTTACAAATAATAAACACACATTTTTGCTTTTATGTAGTATGTGTGCATTTATTATATTTTTGCTAAATGCGGAATTCTTTAAATGAAACCATTTAGCATGGCTATGTGCAGTAAAAGACACCGTGAAGTGCCCAAGGATGCCTGTGCTACAGTATTCCAGCTCCTCAATTCTTCGTTGGAGCTCTATGGAATGCTAAACATGTACATAGGTAGAACAGACACATCCATTCATGCTTCCCAAAGAACCGTTCTCTCTACCGAAATCACCTATTGCATGGTCTGAGCAGGGGCGGACTGACAACTCATGGGGCCCCCGGGCAATAGGGGATCATGGGGCCCCTGTGTCCTTGCCCAAACTCAAAAAAGCCTATGAAAAAGGTACCAGGGGCATCTCATGGGGACCCCAGGCCCTCGAGCAGTGCCCGAGTTTCTAAATGGTCAGTCTGAGCTTTAGAACTTAGGACAAGGACATATCTAAGGCTGTGTAATACTGGCTTTCAGAAAGACAGGTATGACGTAATAAGAGCTGTAAGGAGCTCCAGCAGCTATCTTAACAAGTGCGTCTTTGCAACAGTATACCCTGTCACCTTGTGTTCCCTGCTGCCTGAAGTTATTGTGTGTGTCAACACTACAAGTTTACCCATCAGATTCTCTCTAACCTATATAGTATGTAGCTGGGAACTGTGTTGTCTGATCTGCCTTTGCCTGGGTGGAGGGAGCTATAAAGTTCCAACTACAGTGGATATAAAAAGTCTTTTAGTGGGGGGGTGAACATAAAAAACTAAAATAATATAGTTGCATAAGTGTGCACAACCTCTTATAACTGGGGATGTAGCTGTGTTCAGAATTAAGCAATCACATTCAAAATCATGTTAAATAGGAGTCAGTACAC